AAAATTCTTTCAGACCTAAATCTGCCCTAATGTTGCACAGAGGTATTTCGGCGCATTCCTGGCGAAGCGCTTGTTTGAGGTCATCAGCACTTAGGTATTTTATAGTGCCCACCTTGCTTTCCAAAATACTCGAGACAAAATAGTCCAACGGATTGGTATCAGGAACCTCATTTTGTAACAATGTTTGGGTGGCGCGTGCTGAGTACGATGGTGCTAAATCCTGTTGGAATGTCCAAGGTATGCGGCCAAAATGTTTGCGTGCCCAAGGCTTTAATACACCCTCCAGAATTTTTTTGCAATAATATTCGGCATTTATTTTGATGCCACGGTCGATTAATACGAGCGGAGAGCGATCATCGGCTGTTAAGGCGGCCCACACCATCACAATGCCGGCGCTTGAGTTCTGGTGGCCAACCGAAGGTGCACATTTTCAGCTGACCTCTTTGGCAAATAAACATGATCATTTTGATTGTTTACAAACTGCTGGACAACGAATGTTTTCTCATCGGAGAAAACCAAATTCGCAAGTTCACCACTTTCCGTCAAGCGAAGCAACTCTTTAACTCTTTTGAGTTTATTTTCTTTCTGTTGCGGTGTAAGTTCTTGCACTTTTCGAGCTTTACCTCGAGCTCATTTTTCAATATTTGCCGAATAGAATATAGCGATATCTTCAGCTCACCAACCATTTTCCGGCAACTGCGACACGTTTCGATCAAGTCCATTCTTTACTTTTCGAACAATTTCTGCTCATGTTGCTGTTTTCTTACGTCCACTTCCTTGACGTCAGGCTACGCTACGAGTATCACGGTAACGAGCGATGGTACGAGACACATTTAAATGCTGGCATGCTCTAAGGATAGCCACTTGTGGTTTTCCAGCCAAATATAAAGGAATCACAATATCACGCTTGAATTCCATCACGAATAACTTTTTTCTGGAAAATTCTCACCAAAATGCTTTGGTACCCTTGTACACAATGTAATGAGCTTTCACTGGAATAAATTTAACAGCTGTCGGACTAGTGGCTTAAAAATGACAGCAGTCTGATGTTGGTTGCAGTTTTTTCATCTCACATTGTATATAATTGGTCGTTAGTGCCAAATTCCACCCAATTTTACTAATATTACACTATTGGTGCACAACAAAAGGCAGATCGGACGAAGATATATATGGGAGCTATATCCAAATATGAACCGATCTCGATGACATTTGGGAAAAGTATTCATATTCTGTATTTCATATACTTTCCCAAATATCGTTGTTACCGAGTGCATATTACGGTTGCGGATTACAAAAATATCAAATAAGGTAGACAATATAAATGGGAGCTATATCTGAACCGATTTAAATCAAATTTGGCATACTTATTACTAGGCTTAATTTGGATGTGTATGCAAAATTCCATACTATTTGGGTTAATATTACACATTTGGTGCACAATAAAAAGCAAACCGGACGAAGATATATGTGGGAACTACATCCAAATTTTGACCGATTATCTCCAAAGTCAATAAGGTTCGTCCTTGGGTCAACCAAATGACTTGTTGAAAACTTCATCTGGATCGGGCAATATATGCGACCTGTACTTTGTTTTCAAAAATACATGGACAGAAGAGCATGAGAAAAGCAGGAACATGGTAGATTTAATCCGCATACACGAAGAGTTTGTCTTTGAGATTTATTGACTTTCATAAGGAATTCCAACCGAAGAGGAAACTGCAATATTTTCAAGTTAAAAGGCTTTTTGTAGCTACCGACTTAGACTCATTTAAATTGTGGTGAAGTTCTCTTTAGTGCTACCATTTATTTTTGTACCAAATTCCGTCATATATTTTAAATTTCATTGGAATGTATCTGTATCTGTAATAGATATGTGCATATAAAATCTAAATTTTTGGAGATACCTCCGATTCTGATGCTATATCTCCAGTTCCAAGTGTAATTTCCAGAATCTATATAGTCAATGTTACTTTCAGACGATGCTGTAGTATATTTGGAAATTTTCAGAAAAATCTTATCAGCGGTTTTCGAATCCATTAATTACAAACAAACAAACTTACAAAACATTTCCCTCCTTTATAGATATAGATGTTGTATACGGAATGATAAATAAACTAAAACCTCCGTATTATTGTGGGAGTATAAATACAAAAGCAAAAGGATTGAAGTAGCACTTGTGAGAATTTGAAAGATTTCAATCCTATTGCATTTGTGTTTATACTCCCACCATAATTTGGAGGATTTGTCATACCTATCATTTATGAAGACCATATTGGTTATATGATGACCATATTTTTCTCGCCAGCTGTTGACTTTTAATGTAAAAAGTTTTCCGAGGTCTTACAAATGCCTTATCTTACAAATCTTATACAAAATATGCCCTATTTATATTGGATAAATATCCAATTATATTATTATTTAATATAAATTAGAGCCCTTGGGTAAATTTTTTATGCAAGTGATGCTGAATGCATATTACATGTTTTTTTTTTTTTTTGGTATTTTCTGCAGAAAATTGAAAAATTACCAAGATTCTTAAATTTCTACATCATTTCTATATGTGCTATTTATATATAGTACCAACAATTATGACGCATTTCTGATTGCGTCTGACAAAAAAATAAACGGCCGCCAATCATTTACAAATAATAAAGGAAAGGGGAATGGTGATATAGACAATTTATTAAGTCTTTGCATGAAAATTTTCAATTGTGTAACAAAACGCTCGTTAATACTATTCAAACGAAACACTTGTCATAATTTTAATGGCACTCATACAAATGCGGTTTTTACAGGCATACATATATTCGTACAATTAATATTTGTCGTTGAGTGTTTCGCTATTTGGCAACAAGAAGTATACCCAATGCAAAAGTGCTTCTTGGTTACATTGGCAAGAGTTTAAAATTGAGTCAGGCATGAAAATGTATTTGAATATGGACTTCGGATATAATGATTTATACATACAATGTTATACATACAATCTGTTATACATACAATGTTTAACATTATGTGCAATGTAGATATTTCTAGTACTAATTACTTGATAGATCTTTTTCATTGAATTTTGCGGAAACAATGCAATCGGATATTGGTTGTGTGTTTGGAATAGTATTTTAATTTAATGAACGTTTAATTTGAGATAACTAAAAGCCTTTAATATCCCCTTTTTTAGTATTTATTACATTTATATAATGAAAACTATTTTGTAGAGGAAAGCTAAGTTTTTGTAAAGAAGCAAAATGTACAACACCACCATGCAGTGGAAGAAACTTATGATAACTTGGCTTTGCATACATAATGTGATCTCTATAGTGATTATACCACTCTGGATGTTTTGAGGTGTTATAGATGGTACTAAAAAATCAATATATCCCTACAAGTTTTTCAAGTTCCGTCATATTCAATATTAATACCTACGATTCTTCAAGTTACAAAATACATGATTTTTTTGAAAACAATTTGAAAAAATCTTCAAAATACCGAATATTAGGAGTTATACATATTTGGGGGCTATACGAAGACGTGAACCTGCATACGCATTTTTTGTCAGAGGCTGTAGAACCTATTACGAACTTCAACTTCGAAAATTGTAATAATTCCGGTGAATAATGTCGCTTATATCATCAAAATACCGAATATCGGGAGGTACCATTATATGGAGGGTCTACGAAAACACGGACGAACATAACCCATTCAACCTGCCTACTGGCAAAATATACATGTATGCAACATGTGATTAAAAAAGACAGAAGGGCATCGCTAAATCGACTTAGAATGTTACGCTGATCCAGAATATATATGCTTTTTAGGGTCTAACACGATTATTTCGAGGAGTTACAAGCGGAATGATATGTGAAGTGAATATATCCTTCATAGAATGGAGGGAGGGAACGGTTCCGCGCAAAGAGAAATGTGGTATTTCGGAAATGGTCAAGGCCTGGGGGTATACTAAAGATATGGTTTGATATTGGCGTTATAATTGAGCAATGTCCAATTAACATGCTCCTTTTCTTATTCAGGTAATGGCGTCCTCATTCGCCGTACCAAATATGGATTTATCAACATAGTCTGTCAGCACTAATTATCTCTGGTCATCACCTAGGAACGAATGTCAGAAATCATGAGAGATTCAAATCCAAATCTGGTCAATATCAAATCTCGTACCAACTGTTGACATGCACACGTTAAACACCTCCAACTTTGCATGTCCCCGCCTAACAATTTACTTTCATACCATTCATGTGAGGAGAGAAGTACAAAAGGGACACTAACTCATTCATATAACAGAACCAGTCTAGGAAATGTTTACAACGTTTTTCTAAAATAAAAAATGCATCGAATCTTATCATTAAGCACAATATTGGCAACGATAGACGTTCATTAAATTTTCTCCTTACGCACTTCAGTGATAAAGATTTAAAAATAATAATTCACATAATTATTAATTAATTCACATTATTCTCAAGCTATAAACTTTTGAAGAAGTTGAGATAAGACAATATATTTATTTTTTTGAAACCCCTTCGACAGAATCAGCGCTGTAAAAGACCGTTAAAGAGCGTTACTAGGAAATGGGACCTATTTTTGGAATAATATTTATATAATGTCTTTCACAAAGTCAATTTAAAACACCGAAAAATTCATATTTGTTTTTTTTTAATGTCATAAATTTGGCAAATCTAAATTTCACTTCAACTCAAACACTTGGCATACATCCCAGGTTTAACGCATCACAGACAACAATTAATGACTAGCTAACTGTTGAAAGCCTTTCTCAATGAATTTCAACAGAAATTCGCTCATAATGTTCTCTACGTGACTGAACCAGTTAAAAATGTCATTCCATCCACCTCTTCACCCACCGCAATGCATTTACAACGACAGACATTTAATGACATAACGATGACGGAGACACTTTAATTTGTTAATAAAATTCAGCATTGCAATAGCAACAATGTTTTTAACTCCGCTTCTTTCTTTTTTTTCGTATTTTTCAGTATTTACAGCTGTTACTGGCGCTGACACTAACGTTGCCTCTGCTAACACACACATATCCTGCAGCCGAGGAAAAATCTCTGCCCCTGGACGACGTTGGAATTGTGGATAACGATGAAGCTGCCAGTGCCAAAGATTCACAACTGCAAAAACGCTCGGGCAGCACTGATTATGCGCTACATTTAAAATCCGGTTTGCTGTCTGGTCTGGGCCATGCTTCTGCCTCGATAGCATCCAGCAGTTCGGGGGGTAGCAGTAGCGGTGGTTATGCATACAAACCCCATGGAGATGGACATCATGTAAGATTATTATTTTTTTTTTCGGTTTCATTTGTAAATGTGAAACGTATGAACGAACCAACGAATGACATGTTAATTCATTTTGTTCCACTTTTTTTGGTTTTCTTTCTACCATTGCCAGATACATGGTCATGTTGAATTCGATCCATGGTCTTTGAAAAAGACAGTCTTGAACACCATTTTCCAAGCGGTGAAGGCGATTACCGGCGGTGTGACAGCTCTTAAGGGTCAACTGATTAAGGGCAGTGGTTATGCTCTGAGTGCCAGTGGCAATTTGGTTGCAGCATCCGGTGACAAGGTTACCGATGTCGGCAAGTACATTATTAATTCGGCCCAATCCAAACTGCACCCCATACCCAGCGGCCATGGCGGCAGCAGCCACGGTGGTGGTGGCGGCGCCTTCGCTAAATTTGCCTCCCTATCTGGTGCTTCGTCCGGTGGCAGCAGTAGTAGCGGCAAGCCATCTGGAGGCGGTCACGTTGTGCACACTGAGAGTAAGTAGAAGTTTTGCATAATTTACGAATGAAAAATGAAGGTAATTAGAAATCAATTTAACGCTAATTAGAAATGAACGGTATTTAGCATTTTCAAAGAATTTACACAGCAGTTGAGATTTTTTGAGGATAATTGAAAAATGTTTGCTCATGCAGAGTTGACATCATTTGTGAGGAATTTCTTTAAGGAATTAAATTTAACAAAAAATGTGACATTTGAAAGAAAATATAGCACTCTCATGTACAGTAATGTGTCATTCCATGTTCCGACATGAAATGATGGATGTGTTGGAAAAGATACAAATATATTCATTAAAAGATTGATGTGAGCAGACAGGAATTTTTTTCTTAAAATAGATATGGTTTGTGGTTGTTTTTAAAATAATTTTCGTTCCAATTTCCAAAAGAGTTTTTTGAACGTATACATTCTCTTAAAAATTAACAATATGACTAACAACTTTCGGGTGAAAGCCAATTCCATGCCAATATGCCAAGAACAAATTAATAATGAAGATTTTAAATGGTTTCCATTTTCTTTTATTTATTATTGCAAAGAATATAAACTAGAACTAATTATGTTAAAGTTTGAAACTGTGTAGAACTCACATCATTTATAAATTTGATGAACATATGACGAATATACATGCAAATGTGACTAATGTGGAATAATCAGAATCGATTACCGGAATGAAATTGTAATTTTTTAACTGTCTGTCGATGTTTTGACACAACTTAAGATAATAAATGATTTATCCATTTTTTGACTGGATAAAAATACGGAAATTGTATTAAAATGTGTTTAAAGTCCATCCAATTTATGATATTGAAAATTAAATTTTTAACTGTAAATTTTCCTTTTATGGACATTATTATGATGCTGGCAGTGAACCCACGTAAGAGTTGCACCCGATTAAAGGTACAGAGATTTTTTTAAACCTACACCACACCGATCAGTTATCATGTTTTTGTGCATGTATTTATAACATGGAGAAGGTAGCGAGATATACCCATTCATTTTAATGGTCTGCATAGAATCACATTCTAAGTCGATTTCTACATGTCTGTCCGTCTGTCTGTCCATGTTATTATGTTTTTGTGCATTTATTTATAACATGAAGAGGGTAGCGAGATATACCCATTCATTTTAATGGCCTGCATAGAATCACATTCTAAGTCGATTTCTACATGTCCGTCCGTCTGTCTGTCCATGTTTTTCGTGAGAAAAATGCACATTTATAATCCGATTTGGATAGCGTTTTACACAGGCAATTTTCAAACGCAAGGACGAACCCTATTGAAATGTGAAAAAATCGAAACATCGAAATCTTGTTCGGATATAGCTCCCATATGTATTTAAACTTCGTAATGGGTACTATAACCTATGGCAAAAAATTTCATATGCAGGTCCGCATCTTCGCAAGCCCACATATAACGATACCTCACGATATTCGGTATTTTGATCGGAATTGTTTTAAATTTCTCATTTAAACTTTGTAATGGGTAATACAACCTATGACGAAAAATGATATATGCAGATCCAAGTCTTCATATAGCCCATATATAAGGGTACCTCCCTTTATTCGGTATTCTGATGGTATTCGCGACATTATTCACCGGAATTGATTCAAACTTCGTATTTAAGGTATTAATCGCATTAATCGGTACTACAGCCTACAAAAAAATTACTACAATTACTTGTGCGCCACGTCTTCGTAATGCCCCCATATAACGGTTTTAATTTGAGTAGCATTTTTTGACAGAACCTTTTGCAAATTTCTTCAAAACGGAGGAAGGTATTGCCTCCGTCAAATTCGGTGAAAATCCTTTTGAAGTGGAATATAATTCTCATATATTAGTTTCTTTCGGTTTCAAATTATAACTACTATGCATTCAAAAAAGTTTAATTGTTGGTATGATCTACTACTATTAAATTCCAATATAAACTGTTTTTGTTACGGGTAGCTGTACTAAATATGCATATTGGTGAAGGGTAGCAAATAATCGCCCAGCTTTCGACCTTTCTTGTCTGATTTAACCTTTTTTCACAGTCGTTGCTATTTCACATAACGGCTCCATGTAATTTCACTATATTGGATGTACTTACCAACGAATAAACTGTTATGTTCTCAAAAAATATTTGTATAGCCACAATAATGGTACCTCCTGATATTCGGTGTTTTGAGGGTTTCAGAAACAATTTCCAAATTTCTATACACTGAGAGCTCAAAATGAACAAGTAAATAGTATTTACGTTCGGCGGGTACAAACATCTGATATCCTCTACCATTAGGGAAAGAAATTCGTTTTGTCGAGCCTTCGTATTCGATCGTTATATATTGTTTCTGGCATAACAATTTAAACAAGATAACCTAATGGATATAAATCCAAATTAAGAAAACATATCCCATTATTCCAAAATAATTTGTTTGTTGAAAATTTCTTGAAAAGAAGGGCAAAGGCCATTAAAATACCAATATGAAGAAGTAGCGGTATATATTTAGCTAATAATACGAATCCATTGCAAACAATTCCACCAAATATGTTGCTATTATCACAACACCAAACATACGATACACAATTATATGTGGGTTATGCCGGAACGTGGACCCATCTGTATAAATCTCAGCCAGAGAGAATACTACCCTTTAACTACTTCATATATGGAATAATAGGGGCTAGAATTATCGGGTATACCATTTTATAGAAGCTACACGAAAATATGTTCCTATCAAAAACAAGTAAAAAAGGAGTGGTGTCCGGGCTCAATTTTTGACCAAAAGTTCAGACCCAAAATGCATGTGTACTAAATTTCAGCACTTTATCAAGCCTGACAGATGGACGGACGGACATGGCTAAATCGGATAAGAATTTAAAACTGATCATGAATATATTTACATTGTTTGGTCTAAAATGATTACATCGATGAGTTACAAAAGTAATGGCAATCTTAAAATACCCTGCATATAATGGTGGATGCTGTAAAATATTTTTCAGAGGGATTAATTCCTGTAAAGAGACCACATATCGAATGTCAAACAATTCCATTGAAAAAACAGCAATATACCATTAAAATACAGAATAATTAAGGTTCCGTAATTGGATACTATGAGAAAACGTGGAACGATCTAAAATTTTTTCCAGATACATCATTACAAACAACACAAACATTAAGCAAACAATTTCGCAGACTTATGAACCCACAATATGGTTAGCTTCCAATATATAGAAATTTTACCTCAAATATTGTATCTTATAGTTTCTCGGTACATTCTGACTAATGACGTGTTAGAAGTGTCAAAGTCAAACCAAAGTGCTCTACATTTTTCAAACCATTCAAGCCATCCATCCATACAAACCAAAAAGTATTACAGTAAAAACAGATAATTTCACGACATTTTAGGACCTGCACCTAATAGTTTAACGACACAGTTGTTTCATCCAAGTTAAAAAAAATGTTCCTAACTTTATTTCAAATTGGATGATCCGTTAAAAATTACTACCTGAAGCAACACCCACAAGAAGCCTACTCAAATATTTGAGACACAATTTTTTGATTGTATAAATTTAGGTGTTTAGCAATTATCTCTACTTGTCAGAACCTTTTAATTGAAACTCAATTTATAATATTCTGATATCATAAACAGTACTACCTTTAGAATACTATTCGATCTCCTTACAAGAATTAAGGATATTAAGAGAAGTTCTAAGGATATGCAGACATCTGATATTTATATACACCCAACAAAAAGTACGCTTCTTTCAATAATTCCAGTGCCAAAGTTTTGAAAGATACATTGGAATAAATTTTTGTTTCTCACATGACAAAAAAACATTTCATCATCCCAATATAATAATTTGTTATTCCGAAAAACGTTTAATGACCCATGTTAGGAATAAAATTTTATTTATTTACCACTTAAGACGTTGCGTTCCGCCAAGCAAAGCTGTTCATAAACTACTTTATGGATTTCTTCTACTTCAGCTGCCTTGGTTGGACGGTTGGCTTAAAGTCTTACCAAACATGCAGTGTCCGTAGCACACTTGTTTCCTTACTTGTCAAGAGAATGCTAAGCTCCATAGCTCCATGCCGTTGGTCGCACTGAGTACTACGCTGTTGTTGCTTATTTAGTGTGATGTACATTGACCTAAACAAAACCACATCTAATGATGTGCTGAGTTTGGTGGAGCTATACTGGTGCTCTAGCCACCACATTAACAGAAGTACGAGCATGCTGGTGTCGTTAGATTTCAATGACAACTTTCCAATCGATGACAGCATTTTGTGGAGAAACACGCACACACATTTAAATTTCTAGTTTGGAACATGCTGCAATAGTTCGGTGTTTTTTTTTTTTTTTTTTTTTTTTGTCCACTCTTGATTGCTAATACGTAATAGGGTCCAAATATGGTGGCTACTGGAAATACTATTTTTCTTAACTAAATATAAAAAATGAATTTGGTATTCTGTTGTTTAGTTTAGTAGTATTTAAGGAATAATACCCTTTTCATGGAATATATGAAAATTTTCCATTAACAATATTTTATCACGTAATGTTAGTTAAGTTATTTTGTGTTTCATACAAAATATGTAATGAGTTCACTATGATACACATCCTTTCAATACACTTCCCTTGAAACGAAACGAATAAGATTAAGCGATTTCATTTGAAATGTGAGTGGGAAAATTTAATTTGTTGTGAACAAAAGCTGTTGTGTGGTGAAACAGGGAATTCAAATGGAAAACATTATCACGTTTTCGTTTGCTTTAAAATTTTAATTCATTGTATTTTGAAACAAAATTTTAAAATTAAATAATATAATAATATAAATTGAGACATTCAGAATATTACACTACAGCATATTTTTATACCCTCCACCATATGTAGTATGGAGGGTATATTAAGTTCGTCATTCCGTTTGTAACTCATTTAAATAATCATTTTAGACCCAACATAGTATATATATTCGTGATCAGCGTAAAATTCTAAGACGATGTAGCCCTGTCCGTCTGTTGTAATCACGCTACAGTCAAAACAAATTAAGATAGGAAGCTAAAATTTTGCACAGATCTGTCTTATATCGAAGATGGGCTATATCGGTTCACAATATCGTATAGTCCCCATATAACGGCACCCCCGTCATTCGGTATTTTGATGATTTTAGCCACATTTTTCAATGGAATTGTCTAAAATTCTACACAAAGAGTTCTTTGTGAGTACCTTATCCCCTGGATGAGAATTATTAATATAGGCCCACGATATCGTATAGCCCCGATATTCGGTATTTTGATGATTTTGCCACCTTTTCTAATGGACTTGTCTGAAATTGCACACAAGGAGTTCCGTGTTAGTACTTTGTCCCCGGAAATTGTCTATATAGGTCCACAATATCGTATGTCCCCCATATATCGGCACCTTTCATATTCGGTATTTTTAAGATTTTAACAGAATTATTAATAGATTTTATATCATTTATCTTCAAACGATTTCGGATTAATTGTAGACCAAATGGCCAATATCAGTCCAAATATCTGAAATTTTGGAACATCCGGCCGAATTCAGTCTTAATGAAAATCGGATTACATATACCTATAGCTCCCACGCATGTGTTTCATCTGATGTGGTGTTAAAGTCTCTCACATGCGTCATTTGCACTTCACAGCAAGGATATTTGATACCAGACATCAGATGCAGCTCAGAACTACCTCTGCCAAATTTTATCGAGATCGTTTCAGACTTTCATACACCTTCGATAGACATCCTCTTTAGATTTTACGGTTATTGTCCACCATATATGTAATATCAGCGCAAATTAGATAGATTGTTTCACATTCAACCGAATTTTTCTATTTTGTGAAACTCGGTTAGGTATACCTATTGCTCCAATACATAGTTTTTAATATAATCCTTATCGAAGTTATGTCATGCTCTATTCAGCAATGTTATTTGGTACTAGAGGTACAAAAGCCTCCGTCAAATTTGTTGAAAATCGATGCAGAGTTGGATATAGTTCCCAAATTGTAGGTATCATATAGTCGGCCCGCCCGACTTTTCACCTTTTCTTACTGGTTACTGGTTCATTGACATGAACCAAATAGGACTTTGACCTTCTGGTTGGGAGGTAACGAAAGAAATTCGAAATCAAAGTTTGATAAAAATATTAAACTGCACCAAGTCTATACAGAATCGGAAATTCTGTTCAAAACTTATCGTTCGCATCAGCTAGCCAGGAAACCCCAAAGAAAAATAATCTAACAGTGTTAAATAACACGATCTTGACGGCCAATTTTGCTCTCCAAAACGCAACATAACACAACCGGGAAATGACTGATGTAATAATTGAATTGTTTCTCCGCCTGTAAGACACGTGGTGCCGTCTTGTTGAAATCACATGCAATCCACATTCATTTCTTCAATTCTAGGCAAGAAAAACCCGGTTATCATTTTACGATACCGAATTAATTGTTTACGCATGACCTGCCTCATTTTCATAAAAAAAAGGTCCAATGAATGCTCCAGTCCAAAAACCTGACACGTTGAGGATGCATTTCTTCTCATGAATCAATCGAGGACTTTCTTCGCCCCAAATGCGACAATTATGCCTATTGACGAAGCCATCAAAATGAACGTGGGCCTCGTCACTGAAGATAATTTTATCGGCAAAACAGCATTTTCATTTTGTCTCTCCAACACGCAATTAACGAACTCCCTTCGCTGTCCACGCTCCATTTTTACTAACTTAGTACCTTCTACTATCAAATTAAAATAATTGTTCAAATATCAGATAATGACACTTTGCCAAAATTTAAAAATTGCGTTCTATTTGGCACACCATTTATTTAGCGGGTGAATTTTGGTGAAACTATTGTGTAAAAAAATTCCAAAATTGCTATTCAACCGCAAATCTTTTTAATACTGATTGTCACTTTCCAACGAAATCAATATAACATTATTGCTGACATGCTGATTTCCTTGCATTATATAGTTTGAAATCGAAGCACCATAAGCTCGACGGAAGCCGTAAATGTAAGGCAATTGTCACGAAATTTGGCATTGTCTTGCGGCTTTGATCATATTCGAACGGAGAAATTTAATAATGACCTCAAACAGAATTTTTGAATTATTTTAAACCTTTAAAACCCAAACCTAATATTTAGAATGATGTTTAAGTAGTCCATTTGTGTATTCCAATATCTCGAGGGATTCGTTCATTTCAGTTCAAAGGATGTGTTGCTGTAGTGCTGAGCCCCGCCCGACATTAGCCTTTGTTTACTTTTTTTAGTTCTTATGATCATTAATGTTTTTTCCACAAACAAAATGATAGGTAATTGACACCGTAAATATGATAAAATAATAAAGATGTAAATCGTCCAAATTTGGATTCAACGTTTACAATAAAAATTAAAATGTTGATTTTTATTAACTGCCATATTATCTAGTGGAGTATCTCTCCTATCAGTGACAGTTAAAAAACATTGAAAATTGTTAAAAACACCGTTATATCATAAGCGCTAATTGAGTACCATTTAGAGGTATCCTTACATGTCACACAACACCTGTCACAAAATGTATCGAATCGAAATCATAACACTTTCATCAGAAAACAATTGCGATTTTCAATGGTGTTAAAACTTGCCTTATTTGCAAATCTTGTAGTTCAGTAGTTATGGTAGCATAAATGCAGCCGCTGTTTAAGCCGACAAAAGTTAATAGACCTCCAGAGTGTCGCCTCGGTTAACCGCAATTAATTGATTCGCCATAAAGCGCTGCATTGTAGCAGATTGTGAAACATGGACATATCCAATTTAATAATGAAAAATCCCACCAGTTTATTGAAAACTATAAAAAATTGTCGGTAATTTATTTTTTTCTGCTGGTTGTTGGAAAATTTCATGTATACTCCTGTATATAATAGGCACACAACTACAGTTCACTTCAAATGATAATACGAAATGAATACATACTTCCAATACATAATTGCATTTTACTTGCTATGACTCTTAAACGATTCGTGTTTTTTTATAACTTTAACATTTCTTTGTTTTGTTTTTTTTTTTTTTTCTATCGATAGGCATAACCTCTTACGAGATTCCAAATGGACACAGCAGTTATGGTCCACCATCGAAACCACCAACTTACAGCAGTGCCACACATCAATATCTGCCACCATCGGGTGGTGGTTATGGCGGTGGTCATGTCGCATTCGAAGAGCCATCCAGTAACTACTTGCCAACAGCCTATGGACCAGATGGTATGTACAAGAAAATGGGAATGCATAATTTTTCAATGACTATTTCCTTTTTTGGATTTGTGGTAAAGGGTTATGGTGATTGGGTCATTGTACTACAACGTTTTAAACGATTTAATAATTTTGTATTTTTTAATATAAACCTCAAGAGAATTGATAATTATTTAAGTTTTATTATTCATAAATAATTAAAAATATTATTTAAGCATGTCATTGAATACGTTAACAATAGGGGTATTCATGAACACATCAAGATGAACACATGAGATGAAATTTTCCACAAATCATCAGTTGTGATAATCTATCCAAATTTAAATATAGCTCCAATATATATCATTTATTTTCAATTTTAATTGTACGCCGTATGTGTAAAATATTTACTACCGAATTCAGCCCACAAGCAAATACTTAACATTTGGTGAAAATCGGTTCAGATATAGCTATAGCTCGCATATATTTGTTTTATCCGATTTTAGGTTTCTTGTTGCAGTTTTTTTTATCTCACCCTGTATTATTTGGTGTTTAAGTCCCTCAAATTTGTAAAATGTACGATAGAAAAATAATATTTGGTACCAGATATCAGGTACAGCCAAGAAATAGCTTTTTTTTAATTTTATAAATATCGGATATCTCATGGGGCTTAGAAATTGCAATATAAACCTTTCTTTTACGAGAGCTCTACTAAATATGCATAGTGTTGTAGGGAATGATACCCCGCCCGACTTTTGAGCTTTCCTTACTGGTTTTCATTATGTTCCTTTCAAATGGTGGAAGGTACTAAAAATTTGTAACCGCCCACCTTTACTGTTTTTTTTTTTTTTTTTTTTTTTTTTTTTTGTGTAATTAAAGCTTTCTTATATTAGTTCCTTCTGATTCCAAATCAAAACTGCTCTGATACCGTCATGCATATTGAACAAAAGGTTCATAGTTGGTATGATATACTTCACATAAGTTCAGAAAAACGTTTATTTTTTAAAAGTAGCTTTTCCAAATTTGCATATTGTTGTAGGGTATCAAATAGTCAACCCGCCCGACGTTTGGCCTTTCACATGTATAATATGTGTAAAACAATGTAATAACAATAATTGTCCTATATGTAGAACTGTGTAAAATCTTCAGGTTACCCATCCTAATTTAACATTCTAATTATTTTTTAGAATTAGAATTATCAAAAATTGAAACTATAAACCCTTCTTTAATCTATCACTACTGATCTATGGAAGGAATGGATGGAAAGTGCCGTCCAATGAGTCGATAATTCTATCATGAATACCCTTAATAAGCAATAGCCTTATGTAAGTTTGTATACACATTTGTATGTTCTGTAAATATTATCGTAGTTGTAAGTCTTCCATTAAAGTAAAATGCAATACATGGCGACAATTTATTGCAAATGTGTACGTTTTTTGTAAATATTAAATTTGTTATGTACATTTCCCATGGCTTAAATTTTACCCATTGTAAATGTTTTTTTTTTCTTCTGCATAAAATATGTAACGATAATGATCATTAACCATTTAATTATTATATCAAATTTTCATTGATTTCATTTGTATATATGTATTGTGATGTTATTTTCCTCAATTTCATCATCGAAGCTGTCATCATCAGTTTCAAACACAAAATATCGTGTGGAAAATAAACGTAATCATGATGCTTCATATTGCGGTCTAAACTTATGTATTTCGTGTATCCGGCAACGGAAGAAGAAAACTTCCGTTGCAGTCGAAAACACATTTACCCCGGCTGCAATTGCAATCTTGTCATAACTGTCAACAAAATGATGCCTCTGTGAAAAGTAAATCATTTATTACTCAGCTTTAAATTAAAGCTACTTGGCGCCCTAAGAGAGGCCTTTAAGCTCATTGTGGAGCAGAATTAACTTGTGTCATGTATATTGATTTCACATTTAACATTTTGTTTGGATATGTGTTTGCTAACGTTCATATCGGAAAGATTGGGAATATTGTGAGTATGCGAAAACGTTGACGTGTAAAGACACTTTTGTCCATATACCACCTCCATTTAGGAAGCTAAAGTGATTTAACAGACGGACGAACATGACTAGATTTCCTTACAATGTTATGCAAATCAACCATAATAAAATCAAAGAATAAAGACAGAATAAATGATGTATAAAAATTAAAAAGTTTCAGTCTAAAACTCATACATAAGCCGAGATAATGGTGGATGATATGGGTAATAAAATGGAAACAATAGCAGAGACTCTAGGGCTTTTGATGGACACACATATGGGGTTTCAATCCAAAGATGGCACATTGACCATTCCAAATCGTAATTAGACCTATTCTAACAAATGCCTCAGTAGTCTAGTGAACAGATATGGTCAATAAATGAAATACTAAAATATTACAGAAAACCCAAAGAATGTACAGCTTAAGCATTTGCGGTGCAATGAGGACAACACCAACTAGGACTTTAAAGACGATTTTATATGAACACCCAATAGATATTCAGATAAGGTATGAAGCGGCCGTCACGGCTATAAATCTAAAGCCGCGTCACGTCTAGACTCAAAGACAAGAGGAAACAAGTAAAAAAGTAGGTAAATTCGACTTTTAATACCCTCTACCATTTGGAAGGAACTTGAAAATTTTCAAAAACAAACTTCCGGAAAGTACCACTTTAATGAAAACTGTTATATGGAGACTATACAAAGGCGTGGACCTTATACAAAAAATTTTGTCATAGGCTGAAGTACCCATTACGAACTTAAATATTACCGTTATATACGGGCTATACGAAGACGTGGACCTGCATACGAAAATTTTTTCCACAGGTTGTAGAAATCATGAAATCTCCAAATACGAAATTTTAAACGATTCCGGTGAATAATGCTGCTGAAATCATCAAAATATCGAATATCGGGAGCTACCGTTATATGGTGGCTATACGAATTTTATACAAAATGTTTTGTCATAGGCTGTAATACTTTAAATATGAAGTTTGAAAAAATTCCGGTAAAAACTGTCGCTAAAATCATGAAAATACCGAATATCGGGAGGTACCGTTATATGGGGGCTATACGAAAACGTCGACCGATATGGTCCATTTACGAACTTAGCCTTTTTACTGGTAGAGTATGCATGGATGCAAAATTTTAGCCTTCTATCTCAATTCGGTCGAAAGATGGCGTGATTATAACAGACAAACAGACAGATGGACATCGCTAGATCTTCTTAGAATATTACGCTGATCCAGAATATATATACTTTGTAGGGTCTATTATAAATATTTCAAGGAGTTACAAACGGAATGACAAAGTTAATATACCCCCCATAGAATGGTGGAGGGTATAAAAAAGTGTTCTATTACTGGGTAAAAAAGAGATTATTGCGGTAACAGGCATCCTTACGGGATACCTGGGCCTACAAGCTCATTTTTACAAGGTAAGATGTGCATATAACAGCATAGGCACAGCATGCGCGGAAGATGGAGCTTTTTCTCTGTCAATACCCAGCGTTTGCAAACATCAGATCCCAATTTTAGGGTACACCTTCATACTAGACATTAAGGTACCAAGGGAATAGAGTCGATGTATATTGTTTTTTGGCCGCAAAGAAATAACAATGTTCAAAGAGTGGACTAATCCCAATAATTTTGTCGAAAGTTATCTCAAGAACAAACAGGACAAACACAGGCACGGATCCGGATCTGGATCCATATTTTTCAGAAAACTACAACCCTAGAACAACATTTTATATTTTGATACTATTTTTTTAATTATGTCATGTAGTCATGCAAAATGATTATCCTTTTTCGTGGAAATTGGCTTATATTTACGCCCTCTGTCGTGGTATTGGGAATTTAGGAAATATTTAAAAAATTATATTTCTTTTCCAATGTCTGATTATATGATTGACATTCAGCATTGAATATTTTTGTGTTGGAATGGAAGATTATTCTATATTTTCTATAACCATCAACATGGCAGGCTTTATCCCAATGCAAAACTCCGACTCAGTTTGTCGAGATAAGATGATTTGTACCTTACATAATGCGTCTAGGACCAACATTTCGAGGTGTTACAAAATGTTTGCCCCAAACATACTTAAAATATCCCTCACAACATATTGTTGCGGGGTATAAATATTTCGATTTTTTTTTTTTTTTTTAATACGCCTTCTTGCTGATTTAATTTTAATTAATTAATTAAAATAAATTAAATGTTGTAATTCGACAAGAATATTGCATGAATCATTACCACGCTGCAATTGAATCTTTTGTTCTGTTTGAATGTTATGCTTTTGTTTTCAACAATCAAAACCAATTCGTTTCATATCTTTACTGTCTGTTGAGATCTCTTCCTGTCTTATACATTGTTCAAATTGTGTTTTTAAATGTTTTACCTCGAAAAAGGCCTTTTCTCAAATGAGTAACAACTAACTACTTCCACAATGCACTCAAATGTTGTATGAACGTCAGACGTACGTATGAAAGTGAAAGCAATTGTAGACATTGAAAGACTGTGCTTGTGTCTACAGTATAGACTGCCGGCTATTAGCCTGTCTCTCATTGGATGCCTTACCAATGTGGCTCTCACCAGAGTAGCTCACTCTGCGGTAGTTAAACGAAGAAGACGGCTGAAATACTCTACTCTTCAACTTGGCTACTTGTGAATGTTCAGTTCAGTGACGTATGCCACCTTACGTGTAAGCATTGTTCGTGCTTTGCCTCAGTGAATGAAGAGTGGTGCCAGATGCAAGACTCTCATTTATTGTGCGGCTGATTTTAGCGGTTGTCTGTTAATTTGCTTTGAATTCGGTTTTTTTATTTTTCATTTGTTTGTCTTTGGGTGTGTATCGCTAAGTTAACTGTTAAATTTTTGTACAAAAATAAATTTATAGATTGTTTAAGCCATATGTGGCGGTTTAGCCCCATTGAAATTCGGCTAACAGCGCTTTTTTATAATTCATTCGTTATTGACTAATCTCTTGTCCGCCCGTCTGTCTGGTCGAATATTATGCAATTTGTTATTTGTG